CAGGATCTTCTGCCACTAAGGGTGGAGGGATCATTTTTACCAAGTCAGCCAAGATAGAGAGAGAGGCTCCCCTCCGCCCCGCCAACCCTGCCCACTGCACAGAGGCTCCTGCAGCTTGAACAGTCCCTTCAAGCTGATTTGGCTGATGTTGGACCCTGGGTTTCAGGCAAGCCCTTCTGGCTCTTGCTGGCCATTGGGTCACGTTTCTCCAATACCTTCTTAGGTTCTTCAGGCAAACAAGTGGGCTGTTGTTTGGCCAAAGCATACAGTTGAATGGGTTGAATGTTCACTTTTCTATTTCTGGCTGGAATACAGTATCTACAGTCTTGGTAGGCTTCAGTCATGGTTGAGGGTGATTTCCAGGAGGTGTGTGATCTTTGTCGAAACTGTATGTATCTACCCATGATGACAGGATTTCCCAGAAGCATCACAGAAAGGGTTCCTCTACCTTAAACAGTTCTGTTTGATAAATTTATTCCATCAAAAATATGAGTCAGAAAAAAATTTGAAGCCCTATACACAGTTCTGGGGTATCTGGATACCCTGCAGCCCTTTGCCTCTGGAATCCTTACTGTAGACAGTAAAGTCCATTTCATCCCAAATCTAATCAGTCTGAAAGCTCATGGACCCAGGCATTTTCTTTCTCTCCCCCATGGTGATCAGAGATTTTGATTCCTCTGGCCTTTGATACTGTGAACCCCTGAGAGGTCTGCTGTGTCTGCCAGTAAAAAGGAAACTCCCCGGTGCCCTGTGGGAGTCACCTGTAGATCCTCTAACCTTGGCGATACACAGGGAGCACGTCTTTCTTAAACTCCAGATTAGGACATGATCAACATAACATTCGCTATGAGTGCTTTCTGAAGAGCTCAAGACCTGTACTCACCAGGGCATATACAGAAGGTCCCCACTGACCGAAACGGCAATCCAATTAGAATTCACCACCCAATGACACATTCGGGATCTACTGGGGGTTGCCTGGGAGAACTGTGGGCTTGGAAACTGGACTTCAGGGTAACTGCTTGGTGGTGGTTCAGTAAGTAGGTGTGGATGATAGCCTTAGTGACGTGGAGATGAGGTGAGGGGAATGTGACAACATCTGTCTCTCATAGTTTCTGGGTTAAAATTCGGAGCTGGATGTTCCAGAGAAACCATTTGTCTGTTTTAGCCACAGAATGTTTCTAAACACCAGAGAGAAAGGGAATGAGTAATACTGGAAAAATGATTATGGACCAGAAGAAAAGAATAGTATAAATAATAGGGGCGGTGTCACCTTATTCCAAGCACTGAAGACAGTTGTAAATTCGCATTTGACCAATATGTCTGGAGTGCACACCAGTGCCAGGCATGGGGCTAGATGCTTTACCCACTGTGCAGCTACCTTGGCCTCATAGGCCTGTGAGGAATGCATGTTAGTGCTGTCCTGTGGGTTTGGAAACCAAGGTGCAGAGAGGTTAGTGTCTTGTTGGAGTGCTCAGATCCCCTACCCCCAACCCTACTAGTTTCTCACCCCTCGCCTCCTATCTAGCAGTTCCAGATGCTGGGAGCACCCTGACTTGGCAGGCTGCCCCAGACTCTGTGGCAGGGCCTCCCCACAGAACCCTTATTCTTTCCCCAGCATGCAGCATCCCTTCCCGGGCCACTGGACACAGCTTTTCATCCTCTGGGTCCATCTGGAGACAGAAACCACAACGTTCAGTATAGAGAGCTATTACCTATGAGAAGCAAGTAATTGTAAGATATAGGGAAGCTGTGTGGTTCTCTAGGGCTGAGGGAGTGTACCCAGTAAAGAATGAACATGGGAGGAGGTGTGGTTCAGCCCACAGGACACAGAGATATGTCCACTGTTTGACCAGGCCAGAGCCAGTCTGGAGTTGCTGGCAAGTGGTAGCCCCCTGAGTGTGGGCAGGAGAGCAGCCATCAGCTTCCAGCAGTGATGGGTGCCAGGGAGTCCAGGCACCTGCCCAGGCAGGAGGCCTTGGGAGTGTGGGGGCTCTGGTTTCCATGTAGAGAAGGATGTGGGAAGATCATCACCAGGCCGAGACTGCAAGGTGGCAACGGGACAGTGCTCTGGGCCCATGGCTGGGCAGGCCTCTGGATGTCCTCAGCCATCACTGACCCAGGAGGTCTCCTGCCTCCTCAGTGCCCCTCAGTGCCCTCCACTGACACAGCTCAGCACCCTGCATATCGTGGGAGAAACAGCCGAAGGAATGCAGCGTGTCTCAGTGTGGATAGTGACAAGGGCTTCAGGACCTGAGAGACAGTAAACTGACAATAGCTGTGCAAAGCCACCTCCAGTGTACTCACTGCCCACCCTGTCAGAAGGAACAACCCTCTTCTTGTACAAAGACTGCACCTTCACGGTACCCCATCATCACCGTGCCCCAGGGCAGCCCCGCGATACTGTGCGTGGTGGCCTGCCTGCCCGCCCAGCACTGTGTCTTCCCCCTTTTCTCTCACCTGGCCTGGCACACAGTAAGTTCTCAAGCATCATTTGCTGCCTGGACTCACATTGCCACAGTCAGGGTCACAGCCCCTTGGTGAGAGCGCAGGGCGGCACCCCTGGGGAAGGGACAGATTCTAGTGCACCTGGCCCTGTCATCTTCTGCTTTCAGAAATCCCATTACTAGAAACTGCAAAGGTCAGAACATCTGAGTCTTTGATAGAATCTTGGAGATTCTGGTAGTTGCTGCTATAAGGCTGGTGCATGAGCCACTTGATTGTTCAACCCTAAGCCTTAAGAGGCCAGCAGACGCCCTTTCCGAGGCTGACAGGCCCAGGTGCTGAGTAGTGTTTCCTTGAATGTCTCTCCTTTGTAGGCTGACTGATGATATGTAAGCTGAATAGAGATGTCACTTGCTTTCCCCTTTTCAAGTTCACATTGGATTATAGCTAATCTTTCAGTGCAAGGACAGCACGCATACACCAGAGGCAGAGCTCAAAAGTTTCCTGGGCATTGTCTCTAGCATGTCCAATCAGTTCCCCCCTTTGAACAGGAGCTGTCAGCCTGCTGTTCTACCCGTCTCCCCACAAGCCCACACGTTTCAGAGAACAGCTGTGGCTGTCACCTGCCTCATTTCACACAGTTTGGACAGGGGTCCCATTTGGGGGCCTTCACCCAGGGTTGTATGCATGTGCCAAGCTCGGTACCAGCTCCTAGGCATGATGCAGGGAGGACCCAGACCTCCAAATTGGGATATGAGGTTCAGAGAACAGTCTCCCTATCTCCCAGCCTGGATTTCAGACTTCTCCTCACCCGCTAAGGTCACTCTCACTGAGTCCCAGCAAGTCTCCTTGTCTCCTCTCTCGGTGGGCATGCCCTGGTCTGAATTACTCCGGGGCATAGCCCCTCTCCCTCAGGCAGGCAGGCTGCCTCTCAATGCTTTGCAGGGCTCAGCTTGAGAAGGCATGGCAGGTTCTGACAGCCAACAAGAACCACACTTTCTTGCCTGATCTTCAGCACCCCCACAGTCTGGCTTCCATGTCCCCCTCTAGCCTTGTGCTCACCTGGCAACAGCATCTGCCCAGGCCAGGCCTTCCCCAGTTCTCACGGACCAGAGCAGCCTCCTGGGTGGGCCCAGTGTCAGCCTGGATAGGCTCTCCCATTTCTGGGGTTGCCATGCTGCCATGAGGCTGTTACATTTGATAATACCAAGTTTCATTCAGCAATGGCCTCTTGTGTGCATTTTAGTTTTCTCAGTACATCATCATAAGTTTGCAAGCAGGGACCATGTCCTAAATTTATCTGACTTCCCTACAGTCCCCAGTAGGCACATGACAGACACCACTCAGTGGCTGATGGGAAAGCCAAGGCCCAGCTTGGGAGACTTCTGACAACAGGGCCACAGGAGATGACCCCCACCCCGGGTGGAGTGTTGGAGAAGACAGACAAGCTGCCTTCAAGGACATGCATTCTCTGATCATTAGGCTTGTGCCGCAGATGAGGTTTTGTGGGTAGAGTTAGCAGGGTTCTACAAAGAAGTGCTGCCAGTGAATGTTTGCTCTGCGTGGATTCCAGCCTGACTTCTCCTTTTTTCAGCTTGCCAAGCTTCCGTCCGGTTCACACAGTTAGGTGCTGTCATTAGGGACTTGTCTATGAGTGGCGTGTGTCCTGGTGAAGGCAGTAGCCTGTGCGATGACATCTGACAGAAACTTACTGCGGTTTGGGCCTGGGTGGCAGGAGCCCAGGGAGGACCTGTGGGGCTGGCGCTGGCATCTTGTCACAACAAAGCCCTGTGACTCTGGAACAGTGGAGGGTGGGTCCAGTTTTACACATGGCAAGTGGCTCAAGCCCCACCCTACCCATTCTCAGGCAGCACAGTTCTCACTGAGCAGCAGGTGGCCATCACTGTCACAGCCGCTGACCCTGTCACCAGGGTCAGGGCAGCATCAGCTGTGCCACTGCGGCTGGTTCGAGGTTCACTGACATACCTCCCCGGTGTGGTGGCACTCCCCTCCAGAGCAGCCCCCTGAGCCACCTCTACCTACGGAGCCAGCCGGGCAGCTCAGGTGTGGCCCATGGCAGACCGTGGGGCCCAGGTGCCTACAGCTGTTTCTCCTTCCTGTGCTGAGCTCATCCATAGACAGTGTCGGGGTCACTGTGACACACCCCTACTTCTTCCTGCCTAGGTTGCACAATTGCACAGTGATTAATTTACCTCCTCTTGGGAAATACTGTAGCTCTTTTTTTGTTGTCGTTGTTTTTGAGATACAGTCTCGCTCTGCCCCCGAGGCTGGAGTACACTGGTGTTTGGCCCACTACAACTTTCGCCTCCTGGGTTGAAGCAATTCTCCTGCCTCAGCCTCCTGAGTAGTTGGGACTACAGATGCATGCCACCATACCCGGCTAATTTTGTATTTTTAGTAGAGACGGAGTTTCACCATGTTGCATTCCTGACCTCATAATCTGCCCGCCTTGGGCTCCCAAAGTGCTGGGATTACAGGCATGAGCCACCGTGCCTGGCTCATACTGTAGCTCTTACAGCAAACAAACGAAAAACAAATTGGCCTAATAATTTTTATTTCTGCTTTCGCTAGATGGAGCTAGACATTTTTTTTTTAAAGAAAGAAAGAAAACCCCATAGGAGTTTACAGAGACTGAACGTCCCGCCAGGCATGTGTCACTTTGGGTTAGCTGAGTGCCCTGCCACCCTCAGCCAAGTGCCCACGGCAGCACATCAGACGGGTCAAGCAAGCACATTTGCTTCCCCAGGCACAAGCGAGTGGCACCCTGGTGGGTGTCCGCTTGTCAGCCACTCCTCAGCAGACGGGGTTGGGGGCAGGCCAGCCCCGCCCCTGGCACCCAGTGTTGCGCAGGCTCTGTGGACCTGGGACCTTCTTGGCAGGCTCTGGACTGCAGCAGCAGCTTCCACACCACCTCTTTGTTCACCTCAGTCTGTGTGAACCCAGCTTCCAGGATTGTTGCCTGCTGCTCTAAGATGCCCGTGGCCTTAGCCTTGTTCTGCAATGAATGGGAATGAGCCTATGTCTCCTGTGGCCCTGTGCACACCCTGCCTTGGGTCCTCATGCCCAGCCTGTCAAGAGGGATGGGAGTCATCCATGCGTTGGGTCCCCTGACATCCCCAGAGGGAACAAGTGGGGACAGCACCTCCCGAGCCCAGAGCCAAGGGGCCACTCTTCCCTCAGAGGAAGTCACAAAAGGTCCTAGAACCCAGCCCATCCCCTTCTCCAGGGGCTGTCATGCCAGCCCCCAGACCTCCCGTCCTCCCTCTGATTTTCTAGCCTCTTGTCCATTGAAATGGAAAACAGATCTTGTTTTGGGAGGGGCCTTTCCCACCCCTTCTCAGGGTGCCTGTGCAGTACAGGCCGGTCTCCCGCCCACTCCAGGTTCTTATGAACTTCAAGAAACTGTCCTCTAACCTTCTCAGGACTGTGAGGCAGATGGACGCTGCCAGGCCAGCCCTTGCCAGTCCACGAGCAAGCATGCCAGCTGGTGACGCTCCTGCAGGGCTGCAGCTCAGCCTATGCCCCGTGGCGCCTCACACCCCACGGCACCCCACACCCCCGCAGGCCTCACCTGCTCATACTTGTATCATCCAGGCTATGGCTCAGGGTTGTCCTGGTGCCTGAAACCCCTGCCTCCTGGGCCTCCCATGTCAGCCTCTCCGTGCTTGTTCCACAGGGCCTGATGCACTCCAGCGGCCCCGTGGGCCGGCACCGGCAGCTCATCCTGGTTCTAGAGGGGGAGCTCTACCTCATTCCTTTCGCCCTCCTGAAGGGAAGCTCCTCCAACGAGTACCTCTACGAGCGTTTCGGCCTCCTTGCTGTCCCTTCCATCCGCTCCCTTAGCGTGCAGTCCAAGGTAAGGCTCACACACATGGTGGGGGACCAAGGGCTTGTTCTCGGGTCTCGAGGCACTGTCTATCTGGTCGGACTGGGCTGTGTTACTAAGGCATAGCGGTGATCTCCTCAAAAGTGTTGATTTTATGATTTGCATGCAGGTAGCATAACTTTAGAGTAGCTCTGTCCAAAAGTGGGGCTCGGCCCTCATGACCCCTGGCCATTCTTTGCTGCCTCGGGAAGCCACAATTTGTGTCATGTCTAAGTTTCTTTGCTGTGACATCAGGGTTCTGAGCTGCTCTGAGGTACACAGTGAAGCTTGAGGCCTGACTGAGCACCTGAGGGGGCTGGTCACCCACCATCCACACGATGCCCAGTGGGCAGAGCAGAGCCACCCAATTCACCTGGCCCTTGAGCTGACTGTTGGCTGGGCCCCAGGCAGGGAAGGCAGACAAGCAAGAGTGGAGTCGAGTAGAAAACAGCCCGACAGGCCAATGGAACTAAAAACAAGTCAGGTGGCTTTCAGGGGACAGGCAGGGACTCAGGTCTCATTGAGCAAGAATAATCAGTTTGGAAAGAAACACCCAAAATCAAGAGAGTAACAGTGGGCCACCCTGAGTCATGGGTCTCACCCCACTGCCACCCTTGGCCCTGCCCACCTGATTAGAAACTTTTGAGCCAAACTTTAATCTTCTTCCCCTTCTCCAAACTCTCAGAGACCCCAAAATCCTGGCTTCCCTCTGACCCCTCCACAGTCCCACAGGGCTCCGCACCTGCCTCGCACTCCACTTGCAGCATCCCTGCCTGCTCGGCTGCAGGACTGTCTTTACCACAAGGGCTTGCACTGCTCCATCCTCCAACTCCGGATGCCCTCGAGCTGCCAGCTGCTCTCAGAGCCCTCAGACCCCATCTGCCCTAATACCCCATGGCGGGTGGGACAGGTCTTACCCAGATGGTCCTCTTTACAGTGGTGGAAAGCATAGGCGGGGTTAGGAACCAAGGCTGGGCCCTATGCATGGGTGGCCCCCACAGGACCTGTCTTGGCCGCTTTGATGACTTGCTCATTGGTGTGGCCTAAGTGGGGTCAGTTTCTGCCTCATGGGTTTTTGCAGATCTGAATTTTGACCATTTTTGTAGCTGGATAATACTTTTCTTATGAAGCAAAGAATCAGTTCAAAGTGAAAGAAGTTATTTTCTCTAGGTTTCTGAAGTTTCCATGGCTGATTCTGAATCCCAGATAGGAATCGAGCTGGCCTTCTCGACACTCCTGCCACCCAGTGGCCCACTGCCCTGGCTGATAGCAGCACTCTGGGTATCAGATGCCTCCACCTTCAGAAAACTTTTATTTTGATAACAACAGCTAGCTAGCTGTTTGTAGCTTAACCAGAGACCCGGAAGAGGCCATCTCCTGACAGGCACCTGGTGTTTCTCTTACCCAGAGTTTAAGGCATCACCAAGCAGAGGCACCAAAAAATTATTTTGAAGTAACTTCATACTTAATGTTTCCCAAAAAGTACCAAAAGTCATCATAGGGGAAACTCAGGCAGACATTATTGGGCTTCTTTATGCTGATTTTCTCATTCAGTGATACTTTCTACTTTGCAGCATATAAGGCAGAAGGGAACTAGAATCTTGTCAGTATGTAGAGCTTCTTAAAGGACTTAGTTTAGCCCTGTCTCCCCAAGACTGACTTGCTTGTTTGCACGATTTAAACAAAATCACTCTTCAAAGTCCCTGACTTATCAGGAGTGGGTTTCCTCTTATTTAGGAGCCACACAGGGAGGTCTGTGGGGATGAGGATTGTGGAGCAGGCTGGCCATCCTGGGTTCCATGGGCTCTGTCTACTCTGTCATATCAGGGCCTCCTCCCCCAGTCCTCTCAGGACCCCTACCATCCAATCCTGATGATTTTCTTTTTTTTTTTTTTTGAGACGGAGTCTGACTCTGTCACCCAGGCTGGAGTGCAGTGGCCGGATCTCAGCTCACTGCAAGCTCCGCCTCCCAGGTTCACACCATTCTCCTGCCTCAGCCTCCCGAGTAGCTGGGACTACAGGCGCCCACCACCTCGCCCGGCTAGTTCTTTTGTATTTTTTCTTTTAGTAGAGACGGGGTTTCACCGTGATAGCCAGGATGGTCTCGATCTCCTGACCTCGTGATCCGCCCGTCTCGGCCTCCCAAAGTGCTGGGATTACAGGCTTGAGCCACTGCGCCCAGCCCAATCCTGATGATTTTCAAGGGCTCATCACAGCAGGCGTGATTCTCAGTAAGTTAGGCACCTGTGTCAAAAAGATGTTGAAAAATAAGAGTGAATGAGGTGACTGGGGAAACAGGTGGATTCAAGCTCAACCAGCAGAGAGCTGGTCATCCCTGTGCTCACCTGACCACTGCCGGGCAGCCTGGCTGTTCTGTCTGACGGGTGGTCTGCTTTGTCCCCTCCCCTCCTAGTCTCACTTACGGAAGAATCCGCCCACATACTCCAGCTCCACATCCATGGCGGCTGTCATCGGCAACCCCAAGCTCCCATCAGCCGTGATGGACAGGTGGCTGTGGGGGCCCATGCCATCGGCTGAGGAAGAGGCCTACATGGTGTCCGAGCTGCTGGGCTGCCAGCCCCTAGTGGGCAGTGTAGCCACCAAGGAGAGGGTCATGAGCGCCCTGACCCAGGCTGAGTGCGTCCACTTTGCCACTCACATCTCCTGGAAGCTGTCGGCCTTGGTCCTCACGCCCAGCATGGACGGCAACCCTGCCAGCAGCAAGAGCTCCTTTGGCCACCCCTACACGATCCCTGAGTCCTTGCGGGTGCAGGACGACGCCAGTGACGGGGAAAGCATCTCGGACTGCCCGCCCTTGCAGGAGCTGCTGCTCACGGCCGCCGATGTCCTGGACCTGCAGCTGCCCGTGAAGCTGGTGGTGCTTGGCTCCTCCCAGGAGTCCAACAGCAAAGTCACAGCCGACGGAGTCATCGCACTGACAAGGGCCTTCCTGGCTGCTGGCGCTCAGTGTGTCCTCGTGTCTCTGTGGCCTGTGCCAGTGGCTGCTTCTAAGATGTTCATCCATGCCTTCTACTCATCCCTGCTGAATGGCCTGAAAGCCAGCGCCGCCCTGGGGGAGGCCATGAAGGTGGTGCAGAGCAGCAAGGCCTTCTCGCACCCCTCCAACTGGGCAGGTGGGAGTTCAGCCGGCTGCAGGTGCCTGTCAAGGCCTGGGGCTCAGTCCTCACAGCCCCCTGACTTTATTCTGCAAGTGGGGTTAGGGAGGGGAGGGGAGGGCAGGGCAGGGCCAGCTGCAGAAGACTCAGGGAGAGAGCCTGTGTGCTGAGTTTTCCTTCTGCCAAATGAATTTTTCCTACTATTAAGATCATCTTTGGACCAGGGAGCAACTGAACCATTTGCCATGGGAGTGTGAATGTGAAACTCCTCCTGATGTCAGTGTACACTGGATGACCCATTCCATTGCACCCTCACTTAAACCATGACTGTAGAAAGGAGTGTGTGGTAGAAAGACTTAGGATGGATCTAGCTCCATGTCCTGGCTGTGTGGCCTGAGATAGGTTACTTACGCTCTCTGAAGCTGTGTCCTCAGCGGTAACAAGGGGATGATGGTGGTGCTGATGACACCACCCGGTCCACATTTGAGAAGATCTATAAGGAGTGTACTGAATATTTTGTGAAGCTTCAGGCCCTGCATGTTCTAGAATACATTCTCTTAGTGGGCCTGCCTGGAGGGTCTAGGGAGTAAAGAGAGAATGTTCCTGTGACATCTGGTCACAGGGGAGGTGGGAAGGCAGGCACGTACAGAGCTGCCCTCAGCTCTAGGCAACAACCTGCTTCCCCTGGGGTCCCTGTGGAAAGTTGCCCACAGCAGCCACTCAGAGGGCTCTGCTGTGCAGAAGACCCTGCCAGGCCAAGACTCACAGAGTACAAACCAAACCCTGGGCCTATTCCCTCACTGGCCTCTCAGCCAGCCGGGACTGTTTTACCCACATGCGTCATGATGCGTCAGCCTGTGGTCTTCTCTCAGCATTGGCCCCCGAAACTCCCCAGGGTGTTACGAAAATTTAGAGCAAAGCAAAAGTCCCCCGCCCCCCATGGGTAACATCAGCCATAACTGCAAAGCAGAGTGTCTGAAAGTGTCTCAAACTTTGGGAAAAAGAGGAATACTGAAAATCCTGTTTTCTTAACATAAATCCAGTTGACACATCCTGATACTGCTGGTGTCATTTTCCAAAGGTGGGTCAGCCCTGGGGTGGAGCCACAGCACTGCCAGGCCCTGTCAGCCAGCAAACAACACAGCTGCAGGGGTGGCTGCCTGGCAGCCCCAGGTGCTGGTGTCAGGCGTTTGGTCATGCTGTTGAAAGATGGAAACATTTTGCTTACTTTACAAACACAACTGGAGTATTTTTCAAAGAGCTATTCAAAAAACAAAATAGAATTGTTCCTGTTTCTTCAAGCGGCTGAAAAGCATTTAGTTGGTCCAACAGGCACATACCCCACCCTGCCTACTCACCTCACGGCCATCCCTTGGTTCTGCCAGGCGGAGCATGCACAGGCAGGCACGGAGGGCTGCTCACCTGCTTCTCCTGCTCTTAGAAGACACAGAAAGTAGAGGTGACCCCTGTGGCTTCCATTATTGTCCTCATCACACAAGTCCTGGCAGTCAGAAGGGGCTTTGGGCCCCACAGCATCCCACAAAACCTACTGCAGGGCTTGTGGGGACCTGGCCCCTTTCCTGTCTCTGCAGGTCTGTCCAGTGTGCTTACGGGCATGGCATTTTGAAAAGGGTCTTTGTTTGTTTAGTTTTGTTGATGGATAATATAAGTCACAACTTTGTTCTGGATGAAACCATTTTTAGTGATGCTCTCCTATTACCTTTAAAAACAGCTCATTCTCTTAGAAAACCCTTTCCCTACATGATTTGGGGGCAGGCTGGTCCTAAAGTTGCCCGTGGGCTTGAGAAACCTGCTCCCCCAGGCCCTGTTTTGGAAGGCAATGTGGAAAGGAACAGCGGGATGCTGTGCTCCTCAGCCCAGTTGGTCTTTCCCAGCCGAGCTTGTTTGCTGGTTTAGAACTGGAGGAGTAGCCGCTCTCTGCCTCCCCGTGGCCCCAAGGAGGAGATACGTGCACCTCCCCTGCCCTGGCATGTCCCCTCCTAAAGGCCTGAGGATAGACACAGATGAATTTCACGAAAAAAAAGGCAGCTTTTCCCACTGTACTTCCCTTGGCTCCTTTCTGCAAAACAGCAGGCCCCACTTACCTGAACAGCTAAGCAATATTGATTATTAAAAGGAAGGGGGCAAAGGGGTGCCACATCACCATCCAGTGAGTCAGATGCCCCAGTCTAGCCTGTGAGCTGCTCCCCTGCCAGGCCCTGCTCTTTCTGCTGGGTTAACCTTGAGGCATAAGTGAGCCCTAGAAGCCGGGGTGGGGCTGGGGTCTCCAACCGCTCTGCTGAGGGTGTCCTCCTTTGCTCTCTGCAGGGTTCATGCTCATCGGGAGTGATGTTAAGCTGAACAGCCCCTCATCACTCATCGGCCAGGCCCTCACAGAGATCCTGCAGCACCCAGAGCGCGCGCGGGATGCCCTGCGAGTGCTGCTGCACCTGGTAAGGGGGTCGGGCACCCTGCACTCAACAAGAGCTGGCAGTGCTGTGCAAGAAGGGGAAGGCAAGGGTTTCCTTACATCGGGATGTGACCAGGTGGAGAGGACATCATGACTGGGGCCATGTCCAGGACGGCACTGACTGGCTTCCGCAGACGTCCCTGGGATAAGCCTGCTTGGGAGACCCATGTCCCAGCAAAGCGTGATGCACAAAGTGGGCAGCATCCCCAGGGTGCTTCTGCAGACATCCCCGGGATGAGCCCACTGGCTTGAGGGGGTGGCACGGTGGGTGGTGTCATACAGGCGGCTGTAGTAGCAGTACTCGCTAGGACCCTGGGGGAAGGGCAGCCAATGACAGTGACCCATACCCTAGCAGCTTCCAGGTCATGTGGCTTTGGGCAAGTCACTTTGGCTCTCCGAGCCTCAGTGCTCTCATCTGGAAAGGGTGGTAACAGTTGAATATTTCAAGGTTATCATGAGGATTTGAGAAAATGCGAGTACTCGCCACACAGTACAGTCCTATTTTACCATCAGATGACTCCAGTCTGCCCCTAATTAGTCCAAGTTTGATCGTGCCCTTGACCAGCCTGCCCCAACTTCTGTGGAGCCCAGGCAAGAGCACAAATGGAGGGCCCACATCTACAGGTGTAAATGTTATCAATTGAGTCAAGAAGCAATGACATGAAACTTGTTTCATCCTTCTACCTTTGGAACCTGGAAGGCCGTTTCAAATCATTTAGAGTGCTGTGCCAGAAAGACCAGCCCTAGCCCACCCCACATCTTCCTAGCCCAGTGCCAGCCTGGGGCCCATGCAGTGTGGGTGAACAGCCATGCCACAGCCAAGCTCCTTCCAAATCTGCCACAGACCCCAGGGCCTCCTTGCAGGCTGGTTGCTGCACAGCCTGGCTCCGTCCATGGTTAAGATGGAGGACCTAGGGCAGTGTCCACGCAGGCCTGGGAGCGAGCATGTCTCCTGGGCTATGCAAACTTCTTGCCCGTGGGTTGGGTCTGATCAGGTCCCTCTGTTCAGACCTGTGGCACCTGGGCCTGTGCGTGGTAGCTCTCCATGCACTTCTGAGGATAGAGTCACACACATTTCTTAAGCTTAGGGTCTCCTCAGGCCTGAAAGTAATCAGTATGTGAACACTGTGACGAGCAAGCCCCCAGCATTCCCCTAGTTGGCTCAAGGAGGCCGACGCCCAGGGTGCTGGGAGGCCCTCTCCATTGTTACCCCGTATCTGGAAACTGCCTAGAGCCTTTCAGTTCTCAGGTCCCGTCACCCGCAAAGTCCCTCTGTCCTTGCTGCCACTGCACACTGCTTTTTTGGGGTAGTGGAACTGCCTTCTCTACCCATTAGCCGCCTCCTCCCAGGCCAGGCCTCTTAGCTGCCCCCACATGGCCTTGAGGCCCCTCAGGCCCATTTAAGGGTTTCCTCTTTTTCCTTGGTATTATCTCCTGGGGTGGATGCAGGAGTGTGGGGGCCATGGGTCAAGTTCCCCAGTCCCTACCTTCTAACACCTCCTGGATATTCCTTGATCCAGTAGGCAGTGTCTTGGAGGCCCGCCCTGCCTGAGTGACAGCCAGGGCTGATCTTCTGTCCTCCCGGGCAGGCTTGTTTCCTCCTGGCTGATGTGAGTACACACTTCCTCCTGTCTGGACGCCTGTGCTCCGGCATCCCAGTGTTTACTGTTTAAAAAAAAAAAAAAGCCTCAGGTCATCTTGGACCACTCATGCCCCTCCATTGAGGGCACATGTGCCTCACAGGGCACCACAACATCCCAGAGTGGACAGAGGTTTCCACTAGAGAGAGGCCCAGGGAGGCCCGATGAAAGCTGTTTGCACTACTGTTATTTGGTGTTTTTTTGGGGGGGACGGGGTATAGAGCTGGGGTCTCGCTATGTTGCTCTGGCTTGTCTTGAACTCCTGAACTCAAGTGATCTACCCACCTTGGCCTCCTAAAGTGTTAGGATTACAGGTGTGAGCCACTGCGCCTCTCAGCTGTCCCCACTTAGCCTTGAGACCCTGCACTACTGTTAAAACACTCACTCATGTAGTTCATGCAGCAGTGACTTGGGTGACCAGCGTAGAAGTGCCAGGCAACTGTTCAGGTCCTGGATGACAGGAGGACACTTCCCGGTGGAGGGAGGTATAGGCTCCAGAGGCCAGTGCGGAGGGACGAAGGCTGAGTGGGAGGAATGGGGAAGAAGGGCATTGCCAGCCAAGACCCCATGATGATGCTGGGCTGTGGGCAGCGAGGGGGTTCCTGAAGGGCCTGAGGGTTTATCCCTAGTGGGCAGGAGCCATTACAGGGTTTGAGGCAGGCCCCTGTGTGTTCAGACATGTTGCTTTACTGTCTGTGGAGAGTGTGCAAGGGGTTGGTTTAGGGGAGGGACAGAATCCTTCTGTTGCACCAGCCCTCGAGGGCTCTGATTGTAAAATCCTTCCCTTCATCCCTCGCAAGATGCCTGGTCAGTGCCCCACTGTCACATCCTCAGGCCTGGCCATGTGGGCCACGTGGGGTTGCAGCAGTCAGCCTTGCTTCACCCCTGGGGCTTTGTGTACCCTCAAAGCCATATGGACAGAAACCAGGGCTTGCCTGGGTCTCTGACTCACCCCCAATTTCCCCCCAGGTGGAAAAGTCCCTGCAGCGCATCCAGAATGGGCAGCGCAATGCCATGTACACGTCCCAGCAGAGCGTGGAGAACAAAGTGGGCGGCATCCCTGGCTGGCAGGCCCTCCTCACCGCTGTGGGCTTCCGGCTGGACCCCCCAACCAGCGGCCTGCCAGCAGCTGTCTTCTTCCCAACCTCTGACCCGGGTGACCGGCTCCAGCAGTGCAGCAGCACCCTCCAGTCCCTGCTGGGTGAGCTGCGGGTGTAGGGCTGGGGCAACAGGTCTGGCCAACAGCAGGTGGAACAGTTGGTGGCCTTGGGCCCCGCATTCATGAGGATGCTGGATCTCCCAGCTAGGAGCAGGGTGTTCTGAGAAATGGCAAGGGGTCCCAGACACACGTCCAGCTGTGCTGAGCTTCTGAAAAATGCCACCGATGCCGAGGATTTAGGGTTCTTTCCCCTGGGAAGGTTTTTGGGTGCAGAGGCTCTTCTGAATAACTTCTACCCTTTTTCCTTGGTTTAGGTCTGCCCAATCCTGCCCTCCAAGCCCTTTGCAAACTCATCACTGCCTCGGAGACGGGAGAGCAGCTCATCAGCCGGGTAAGTCGAGCCTGGAGGGCTGAGCCAGGGCCTGAGGCCCATGCTGATTTGGAAAGGCAGAGCGATTTGGCCCTAAATAGGAACCTGTAAGTTAATGCAGTCTCATTGCCTTTGTGATTCGAAGGAGAAGATGAGGGCTGGTAGTAAGAGAATAGCCCTCCCTGGCAAGTGCTGTTTACCTGCTATTTCCATCTATGATGCCAAGGCATCCGTGCCAGCGGTGCTGCCCCTTCCCAGGATGATGGGAGGCCGTGCCAGCAGACACTGGCCACTGTTGGCATTGTCAGGTGCACCTGTGGCCCTGATGAAGCTGTGCGGCCAACCCCAGGGTGAAGCTGGGTGCTTGACTCAGCGGGGCACAGAGGGGCAGGTTTGCATAGTGTTTTCACTGGGTGCTGAGCATCAAGGGCCTTCAGAGGATGCTTATGGGGCCCCTGTCACCTGTGGTCTCAGGGCATTTCCTGAAATCTCCATTCAGTGGTCTCCTGAACCTTGTCCTCCTCACCACCAACTTTTTCAGCTGATTGACAAGTGTTACAGCCACCCTCCCCAAGCCACCAGGTGTGGGGCCAGCCTGCCAGGACAGCTGCAGGTGTTCCCATACTTCTTTGATCAAAGTACTTACCATGCTGGAACAAGATAGTCACTGAGACAAAGCAGTGAACACAGGAGCAACTCTAATGCAAGATACTGCTTAGCAGATGTGCTTTCTTTTAGGAAAATACAGATCTAGTTCAGGAGTTCAGAGGGTTCCAGTTCTTAGCATCATGTGGGTCCTTTGCAGCTTGGCCTGGGAGCTTCTCAGTACCCATGCTGCACCACTGCATTCTGGCCAGTGAGGGTCTGGACCAAGCCCTAGGGGGACAGCTGTGGGAGCACTTCTGGAGGCTGGAGCAGCCCTTGAAGAGCACAGAGCTGCTTTTCTGGCCATTCTGGAGTGTAACAATTTGAAAAAGTAATATGTGTTGTTGTTAGAGATATTTGCCAGCAAATTTCACTTAAGCAAAAGAAATATTTCTATGGAGAAATAAAGCTGCTCCATCTAGTATCAGCCTCTGAAACTCTGAGTGCTACCTGGGGCTGTTTCCACATGGATTTGGAACTTAGAACCAGCAGTGACCTGTACCCTTGGCTGAGTCCCTGCTCATTTTGTAATAAGTGTGTTATGCCTGCTTGTTGAATAGCATCAGGAAAACACTTCCAGGATATTGCGTATTAAAGCATCCTGAACCCAGGCAGTCTAGAGGTCTGTGTTCTACAAAATCTGAAAGCCAAAATTATATTCCATTTGCAGGGCTGTGCTGAGCGGCCAAAAAACCCAGTTGCTTAATTTCTTTGCTTTTAATGGGAACACAGGGACTTTCTGCCTGATATGCTGTCGGGCCCTAGGGATGTGTCCCGAGGCTGCCCCCAGTGGTGGCAGCTGCTGGATCTTTCCTGGGTCACTCCGGAACCAGGGACTTTGGTTTCCTGAGCTGGCTACAAACGCCCGCTGTGCTCTTTCCCCTCCTGAGCCTCTACTGGCTGGGAAGGGAGGCCTGGCTGCTGCTGCCCCTGAGCCCCTGGATCCGCACGCGGCTGGCCTGGGTGTGGCTGTCCGTTCTCCTGTGTGTCCCCTGCTGACTCTTGCTCCTCTCCCCTCCCAGTCAGAGCCGCGGGCCTGGTGTGGCGCTTCCTAAACAGTGATCAGCTCATGTTGCATAACAGCCTGTGCTTGAGTCTAAACTCTCTTCTTTCTCTCTCTTTTTCTTTCTTTTTCTTGTAATCTGCTGGCCGAAGGCTGTTAAAAATATGGTTGGAATGGTGAGTACTACTTTAAGTAGCAACTGTTGTCAGGTGAGCCCCTCAACCCACCCACCCCCGAGTTCCCCTGGGCAGGCTCTGAGCTCGGGGTGCACGTGCTGTCAAACGGAGCCACACAGGCTGTGGCGCTCCAGGCAGGTGCCCACTGCCGCTGGCTCCGGCGGCCTGTCCCCTCCTCTGCTCTGGCTCCCCTCTTCCTGCTCCACCCTTCTTGTGTCCTTGATTGACCTCTTAAGGTCCACCACAACAGCAGGAGCAGAACCAGCTTTAAGTGAGTGACACTCTGTGAACCCACACACAGACCCGAGGAGAGGCCAGAGACCCTGAAATCTGAAAGGAAGTGGACACTCGAGTGGGCCACGTGGGTTATTCCTCAAGTTGTGAGGCTCTAAGATGTAACCAGGTTCCTCTTCGCCATCCACCTCAAGATCCCAAAGATGACTTAAGAAAGAGGGAGGTGTTCGGTCCCAACTCACCCCTTCTACTCTCCATGGCCTCTCCTGTGAGGCTTTCCCACACCTGAGGGAAGACATGAGGCTGGAAGCAGAACCCGGCCCCAGCCCCAGGAGGCCACACAGCCTCTCCTGCCCCACACAGCCTCTTGCCCCACTGCCCCATCAGCTTCCCACAGAGAGGACAGCAGGACAGCAGGTATGAATGCACCTGGAAAAGAATCTCAAATGCTACACTCGCGAGGGTCATTAGCGATGCCAGTGACAGGTGACATAAGAATAACGGGTCAAGTCTTGAGGAGGGCTGGAGGGGAAGGAGACACAGGGTGCTCACATTGTCCTCCCTTCCTCAGCTCCACCAGGTGCTGGTTCAGCTCCAGGCTGGCGAGAAGGAGCAGGACTTGGCATCAGCTCCCATTCAGGTCTCCATCAGCGTCCAGCTGTGGCGGCTCCCGGGATGCCACGAGTTCCTGGCAGCTCTAGGTAGGCAGAGCATCCTTGACTTAGTGGGTTCTTTAATTCCATCTTTTAAATCACTGCTTTTCCTCCTGGTTTCTATTGGGCAAAGTATCTCAGTGTCTTCTTAAATATTATTTAAAAATAGTTAACTCAGGCTGGGTACAGTGGCTCACGCATGTAATCCTAGCACTTTGGGAGGCTGAGGTGCGAGGGTCACTTGAAGCCAGGAGTTTGAGTCCAGCCTGGGCAACATAGGGAGACCCCATCTCTACAAAAATAAAAAAAAAATTAGCGAGCATAGTGGTGCACACCTGTAGTCCCAGCTACTCAGGAGGACTGAGGCAGGAGGATCTCTTTTTTTTTTTTTTCTTTCAAAAAAAAAAGTTAACTTAGATTGTAGTGGTTTAGCAGGATTTCCAAATGGCACAAATGGCTTTGTGCCATTTCCTCTGCACTGTGATTTCATCTCTCTCATTTGTGCCCATTACCTTAAGATGAACCTGCTAGACTCTAGTATTGTTGGAGGTCAAGTGTTATTAGGAGCTAAAGAAAACTAAAATTAGAGTCATAAGATAATAATGGTTTCAATGTTGTCCTCTGTCCCTGGGTACTCAAAACTGGCAGGAAAATAGTACTATCGAAACCACCTCGGGCCGGGCGCGGTGGCTCATGCCTGTAATCCCAGCACTTTGGGAGGCCGAGGCGGGTGGATCTGAATCCCCTTGGATTAGAAGCTTGGCATCCTTTACAGGTTGCATTACTTGGTTTTTTATTTTTTTCTAACTTTTTTTGTAGAGATGGGGTTTCACCATGTTGCCCAGGATGGTCTTAAACTCCTGGGTTCAAGCAGCCCTTCCATGCAGCTTCCCAGAGTGCTGGGATTCAGGCGTGAGCCACCACTCCTGGCCTACATGCTTTTCTTCTGTGGGTTTAAAGCATCATTTTCCTGGCATAAACATAGTAAATATCTATGTAGGCAGCAGCAGATGGAGGCTAGACTGAGAAGGGTCAGGTTCCCATCCGGATGCTTCTCTTGTCACTTCTGTGAGAAGCTGTAGGGCAAGCCTTGGGGGCATTGCCACAAGTAAGTCCGCAAGACGAAGGCACAACCACAACATTTTTTTTTTTTTGGAGACAGTCTTACTCTATTACCCAGGCTGGGGTGCTGGAGTGCAGTGGCACGAGCTCAGCTCACTGCAATCTCCGCCTCACAAGTAGCTGGGACTTCAGGCATGCACCACCCACGCCCAGCTAATTTTTGTATTTTTTGTAGACACAGGGGTTTGCCATGGTACCCAGGCTGTTCTCCATCTCCTGAGCTCAAGTGATCTGCCTGCCTCAGCCTCCCGAAGTGTTGGGATTACAGGCATGAGCCACCGCATCTGGCCAAGAGCTCGCTTTATAAAGGAAAAGCTCTCTTCCTCGTGGAGCCTGAGCTTCTCTTTGGTGTGGGGGTGGTGGAGCCAGCCTTCCTCCTCTGCACACTTGCTGCTTTTGAGGTCCCTTTGCCAGATACATCAAGAATAGTACAGAAGGAAACACGGAAAATCTTAACACGGGTTGTCTCTGGTGTTGGGATTATGGGAGATGTTAGTCAATGTTCCATTTATTCTCCGTATTTTCCAAGAGCCACTGATACTCAAGGGGCGAGTCAGCCTGCATGCATTTGTGACCTTTACGGCCTTTTGACTACAGCTCGGGGAGGACAGTGGTGTCTGGCAGGCCTGTCATCTGGAGAGAGGTGGCTGGCTCGCTCCCAGGGCTCCAAGGCTCCAAGAAATGCCCCCTTTCCAGTCCTCAGCAGTAAGCACACACCTTCACAACCCAGCATGGGCTGCCAGAGATGGCGAGGACCCAGTTCTCAGCAACCCCATTTGAATCATTTTGGTAAAAGTAGAGGTTTCTCATGCAAGCATTACATTGATACTATTCATTATTTGTTTTTAATGCTGAGTTCTCTGAGCATGTCTTCCTGTTGCTTTCAGGGGCTACCTACTTTCAAATTCAGAGAGGAAAACGTCCCATAGAGACCAGAATGCTCCTCTAGTGAACCTAATTCCTAAGGGAATGATAGTCTCCAAATCTCCGAGTACAAGTAAAAAGGCTGGCTGGCTAGGCAGACGAGAGAGGGAGGGGTTTCTCCTTTGGTGAATGTGCTGTGGCTGAGTCATGACACGCACAGCATGCTGACAGTAGCATCGTGTACTACAGGCCCCTTTACTTTATCATTATGAGGTCAGAGGAGAGGGTGTGGCATTGTAGGTACCCAGCACTTTGCAGTGTTTTAAGGGGAGCTCAGTGATCTACCCAGGACCAGGGACTAGGGATCCTGAGTGAAAATTTTCAATGCTGAAGACTCTTCAGGCCTTAAATTCTTGCTTTGTGGTCCCCATCTGTATTAGTCTGTTCTTACATTGGTATAAAGATACTACCCGAGACTGGGTAATTCATAAAGAAAGGTTTAATTGACTCACAGTTCTGCATTGCTAGGGAAGCCTCAGGAAACTTACAATCATGGCAGAAGGCGAAGGAGAAGCAGGCACTTTCTTCACAAGGTGGCAGGAGAGACAGCACAGGAGAAATGCCAGACATTTATCAAACAACCAGATCTCGTGAGAACTCCCTATCATGAACCGATCCAATCACCTCCCACCAGGTCTCCCCTCAACATCCAGGGATTACAATTTAAGATGAGATCTGGGTGGGGACACAGGGCCAAACCACATCATCTGTGGCCATAGCATCTGCGCTTGGCTTCTCCCCAGGGAGACATACTTGCTGGTGTCCCTATAATGTCTCTTAATCGTCCACAGCTTGTTAGCCAGCCTCTTGCTCAGGAAGCTCCACGCCCTGTGTTACACCTGCTCTGAGTCTCATTAGAATCCTTAGAATTAGGGAGCAGCACCCCTGGGCTTTGGCAGAGGCAGAGAAGTCACTGCAGATTCCCCTTGTCGGCACTCATTTCAAAGCCCACGGGGGCAGACACTGAACATGCATGAAGGCATTGTCTTTGCCCTTGAGAAACTTCACCTTACCATGCACCAGCTGTAAATACTGCTCTCAATGCTGAATGGAGTGGCCAGTTTTTGTCCTGGACAGTCTTTATATAGACTGTACTTCTGTGAAAAAAATAGAAAAAAACATGTGAGTGAGCCTTACTCAGTTCTGGTCCATAGTGCTTTCCGTGAAGGGACAGAGGAGAGCCAGGCAGTGAGAGCCACACACACGCCAAATGGGGGCTGTGTAGAGTGGATGTTCCGGGTGGGGCAGCGCGACCCCTCTGCCACATGACCAACCTCTGTGCAGACAGGGGAAGCCCCAGGCCCAAATGCTTCCTGAAGAGCCTTGCAGGCACGCCATGAAGTTGCACAAGGAGCCCTACAGCGCTCCTGTTCAAGATCTGGAATCTTCCCAAAGGAAGCAGATGCTTATCTTCTTTGTTCCTTTAGGTTTTGATCTCTGTGAAGTTGGTCAGGAGGAAGTAATCCTGAAAACCGGGAAGCAAGCTAATCGACGGACTGTGCACTTCGCGCTGCAGTCCCTGCTGTCTCTGTTCGGTAAGAGCCTGCCCTCAGACCAGCTCTCCACCAGGGCCTGCCACGCTCTCCCTGGGGGCCAACACCAGCACATACATTTTGGGAAGCAGAAGAAAAGTGAATAAACATTTTTTGTGATGTTAGGGAACAGTTAGGGACTGTTCAGGAGCAGGAAACAAAAACTCCCTGCTCTCATGGCACTTGGAATGTACGAGGTGCTGGCAAGTGCTCAAGCAGGGCAAGGGACTGGAAAGCAAGAGGGTGGCGGCAAAGCAGACGGGAACGTGGCGACAGGTGTGCCTGTCTTCTGTGGGGCCACAGGGCCTGATGGGAGTAGACCCTCAGGTCACGTGGGCCCGGGAGGAGATTTCCAGGCTCTGGGGACACACCCAGCCTGACTGATGTTCTTAAGGGCCGAGCTGGCTACAGTGGGAAGAACAAATGCTGGCTTGGGAGGTGGTTATGGTTTGCAGGTGGAACCAACGGGGTCTGCTGAAGGTCATGACAGATGGGTCACAGTGATATCCTGTTTTTTTTTTTTGGAAGAACTGCCAAAATGGGATTGCCCTCTGCTGAGGTCGGGAAAGTGTCAGGAGGAATGGGCTTGAGTTCCATCTGGGACACATTCAGTTTGGGGATATCCATTAGGCACCCATGCAGGCAGATGGTATGTGAGTTTGGAGTTCAGGGAGAGGTCTGCATGGAGACAGAAACGTGCATGGCGTCACCCGGGGTGCGTGAGGGTCAGAGGGGAAGAGGATTGTGTCCTGTGGGCATTCCAGGTCTCAGAGTGACAAGGATGAGGAGGGGCCTATGGAGGAGGGAGGGGGTGGTGAGGGCAGGGTGTATCCCACTGCAGAACTGAGCAATGGACTCTGGATTTGGCACTGTGGACCTCATTGGCGACTTTATAAGAATGACAGGGACAAAAACCTGAATGGAGTAAGCTGAGAGAATGGGGGAGAAGCAGTGTGGAGAGCGAGTGTAGATGATGCCAGAGGGACTTGCTGGGATGGAGCTGGAAAGGAGGGCAGGAGATGTCACAGACTGCTCACATGCCCCAGCTGAGCAAAGGGCCCCCACCCCAGGAGCACAGCCAGCCCTCCTCAGAGGAAGGTGGATACAAGGTCATGTTGCTTACCCTGACCCCACATGTGACAGGGAGCAGAGTGGAGATGGGCCATGGTGGTGAGGGTCTGGGGGGGTCTGGGTGTGGCTGTGAGCTCTCCTAGAGTGATTTTGTCCCTATGTTAGATTTACTTTTTCTAACAGGACCATGTTTTTGAGGATTGTAAGATTAATTCAAGTGGTGTATATAAGTAGCTCTTGCATAATTCTTTGCTAGCTTCTATGCATATAAGGATGTTGTAAATTTTGGGGAAAAAAAATCAAAACCATATAGAATTCTAATTGCCCTTTGGGCCTTTGTGTTTTGTGCTTAGATTCTACTGAGCTACCCAAGCGCCTCAGCCTCGACAGCTCCTCCTCCCTGGAGTCTCTTGCTTCTGCTCAGTCTGTTTCCAATGCTCTGCCCTTGGGCTACCAGCACCCCCCCTTCTCTCCCACCGGTGCCGACAGCATTGCCTCAGACGCCATCTCTGTGTACAGTCTGAGCTCCATTGCCTCCTCAATGAGCTTTGTCTCCAAACCTGAGGGTGGATCAGAGGGTGGAGGCCCCGGAGGACGACAGGACAATGACCGGTCCAAGAACGCTTACCTGCAGAGATCCACCCTGCCTCGGAGCCAGCTGCCTCCCCAGACCCGCCCTGCAGGCAACAAAGATGAAGAAGAATATGAAGGGTTTTCTATCATCAGTAACGAGCCCTTGGCGACCTACCAAGAAAACCAAAACATGTGCTTCTCACCAGACCACAAACAACCCCGACCTGGGACAGCCGGAGGCTCGAGAGTCTCAGTGAGCTCCAAAGGGAGCATCAGCACTCCAAATTCTCCAGTGAAAATGACTCTGATTCCCAGCCCCAACTCACCCTTCCAAAAGGTGGGAAAACTAGCAAGCTCAGATACAGGAGAATCAGACCAATCTAGCACAGAAACGGACAGTACCGTGAAATCCCAAGAAGAAAGCAATCCAAAACTTGATCCACAAGAATTAGCCCAGAAAATTCTAGAGGAGACACAGAGTCATCTCATTGCGGTGGAGCGTCTTCAGAGGAGCGGCGGCCAGGTGAGCAAGAGTAATAACCCTGAAGACGGCGTTCAGGCGCCCAGCAGCGCTGCCGTCTTCAGAGCATCAGAAACCAGCGCGTTCAGCAGGCCTGTCCTCTCCCATCAGAAGAGTCAGCCATCGCCAGTCACTGTTAAACCAAAGCCCCCAGCCAGGAGCTCCTCCCTGCCCAAGGTGAGTTCTGGATATAGCAGCCCCACCACCTCAGAGACGTCCATCAAAGACAGCCCGAGCCAGAACAGTGGCCGGCCATCGCCCGGCTCCGACTCACAGACTTCCCAGCTGGACCAGCCTCTCTTTAAACTGAAGTACCCCAGCTCTCCTTATAGCGCTCACATTTCCAAATCACCAAGGAACATGTCCCCAAGCTCCGGCCACCAGTCTCCTGCTGGCAGTGCACCTTCCCCAGCTCTCTCCTACTCCTCAGCTGGATCCGCTCGCTCGAGTCCAGCAGACGCTCCTGACATAGACAAACTGAAAATGGCAGCCATTGATGAAAAGGTGCAGGCTGTCCATAACCTGAAGATGTTCTGGCAGAGCACACCCCAGCATTCCACAGGGCCAATGAAGATCTTCCGGGGGGCTCCTGGCACGATGACTTCTAAGAGAGATGTCCTCAGTCTGTTGAATTTGTCACCACGGCACAATAAGAAAGAGGAGGGAGTGGATAAGCTTGAACTGAAGGAGCTGTCCCTGCAGCAGCATGAGGGAGCTCCACCAAAAGCCCCTCCCAACGGACACTGGCGCACCGAGACCACCTCGCTGGGCGCACTGCCGCTGCCCGCCGGCCCTTCTGCCGCAGCCCCCGCGCGCCCTTTGAGACTGCCTTCTGGAAATGGCTACAAGTTCCTGTCCCCAGGAAGATTTTTCCCTTCTTCCAAATGCTAAAGCATCTTTTATACCCACTGACTCTGAGCAGCCGGCAGATGGGGGCCTGGCGTTTGCTTCAGCTGTTTCGAATGCAGTCCCCTCACAGCCACCAGCACCCTCGTGATGCTGTGCTCTCCGGGCAAGGGGCATGACCACGTCCAAAGGCTGTCACACACACTGGTGGCTTTTCTGGGCCACATTCACCAAAAGCCAGGACTTCTATGGGGCTGGTACAGGAGGCTCATGGAATTTCCTATACACTTCACCAAATGTTTACCTTTGAACTCCCTGCTTCTCATCTTTGATATGATTCTTCACCAGGATTTTGTACAAAAATGATCATGGTTCTGGGGTAGGGAGAGGAAAGGGAGCACATATTTTGCTAAGAGGTATATATGCAGTACCTTTTATACACAGAAATACAAATAGAGCTTTTTCTAAGGCTTTCGGGTGCTGGTTGGGGGTGGGATATATGAAATTTCTCTCAGTTGAATTCTACAGGAAAGTGTTATATTAGCCAAAAATGGAATAATGGTTTTTAAAATGCCAATGATTTGTAATTAAATTGTAGCAATTTTGGTCTCATGATAGTGTAATATCTCAGCAACAATGCAATAATTCACATTGAAACAGCGCTTCCATTCTGAACTCTCCTCTGCAAATGTCCTTTGGGTCCCGCTGTCAACCAAACTTGAATTTTCTTAAAAAAAAATTATGTAACTTTTATCCAGGCATTTTAGAACTATGCAATTGTGATTTAAAATGCAACTTTGTGCTTTTAAAACAGTATTGACCTTTTTTGTATATGGATAAACAACTTGGTTTTATTATCAATAGTACTTTGCATTTATAGCTATTATTTTTAAAAGCTCAAAAAGTTTTTTAAAATGTCAAATTTTGAATAGTCATCAATAAGTAATTATCAAGTTTGGAAGGAAAGATTGAAATGACTCAGTTTCCTTATAAGCAAAAAAAAAAAAAAAAAAAAAAAAAAAAAAAAAAAAAAAAAAATTTCCAAGGCTAACTAGATTTATCCCGCCTTCCAGCTCCTGTTCCCTTTTATTAGCTGTTGAATTTTATTCTCTTTTCCCAACTCCAGGTCCCTCAGTTGTCTTATATCTAAATCTGTTGCCAGGTCCCCACAATTCCAGCACCTGCCTCTGTGAGCTGCCCCCCAAAACCCTCACCTTGGCCCTGGCCAGCCTCCTGTGCTCCTACTGTCTGAAGGACTGGCCCCTCCCCCACCACTGAAGCCACACGTCCAGATCCTAAGCAGCAGGGCCATCCCGGATTATGGCCAACCAGGGAGAAAGAGATACATCTTAAAAAGTGAAGGTGGACTTCTTTTCCTACAGCTCTGACGGTAACTTAAATTGTTGCCAGCTTGAGGCAAGACAAGGGAATCATCTATTTAGGGGTAACCATTAATTTATTTTAATAAAGGAAATGCTGAAAGTCGTATTAGTACTTAGTTGGAGAATTTAGATAAGTCTCTTTCAGGTAATTCTAAAATAAAAATCCTACCCACCTCACTACGGGGTTCCTCATGAAGGTGGGCGGCCACCTGGCCTGGGCCACCAGCAGCACATGGAGCAGACCTGAGGGGCCTGGCAGGGGGCACTGACCTCAGGATCCCCAAGTGGGGGTTTTAACCATGGGTGGGATCTCAGCTTCTGAGCATACACTGACAGTCTCACCTGTTCCTCAGTGTACTCCTCTGAAAAGAAGAAGAGTATTTATCCAGTCTGTGTTCTCCTGAGCTCCATCCTAGGGGTTTTTAATTTAACCAGCCGCCATGTTGACAAAAGGCAACAATAAGCATGTCACATTCTAGCCCTGATCCCAACACTGAAAGCAAAGTACTTTATAAAGCAGCCAGCAATTATGAGGGTTTCTTTATGTTAGTAGGGGAAAAAATGGTAATAAAAGTACCAGTGTAGCAAGTGAAGACCAAATTTATAGCACTGTGCATTAGACAGCAAAATCAGGTTCTTAACAATGAAAAGTAAACCTCAAGTTTCTAAATCCATATGCAGATGGTTAGGCTGTCTCTCTCTTAGCAAATCTCTCAGCCTCTTTCTTTCCCAAGTGCCAAGGATCCCTGGAGTAAAGCTCTGGGGTCTGTGCTCTCCTTCCGTGAGGGGAAGGGTGCTGCCCTACTTGCCCCTCTCTAGCAAACACCCCCACCACCCTGCCACTTCCTGTGGTTATTGAGCCAGTTAGGAGGACTCATGGACTCTAACCTGGTTTTAGTCCCATGTACATTATTGTTTTAGGTTTCATATTGAAGAGCCAAATGGTTTATGTGGTTTTATTCTGTCTTAGATATAAGTTTCAAGGAAGGGAAAACAAAAGTGATAAAATGATAGACCAGTCTAGAGGCCACTGTAGAGTCACCGCCACTTTATGTGTATGTCCATCTTGGTGTTCCTATATGAGTAAAACGGATGTAAAATCATAAAATCAAAGTGAACGTTTCAGGCTACACTGAAAAAAGTATGCACTTAGAATTAAGGGAAATTGCGTAATTCACCAAGATTTCTTTGTGTACATCAGGAGTTGGCAACTATGACCCACAGGCTAAGTCTGGTCAGCGGTATGGTTTTCCACAGCCATGAGCTAAGTTACCTTTTTAAAGGGTTATATAAGTAATTACATAATATTCTTGATTTTGCCTTTGGCCCACACCACATAAAATATTTAATACCTGGCTTTTTTTGTTGTTGTTGTTGAGACAGAGTCTCACTCTGTCGCCCAGGCTAGAGTGCAATGGCGCAATTTCGGCTCACTGCAACCTCTTCCTCCTGGGTTCAAGCGATTCTCCCTGCCTCAGCCTCCTGAGTAGCTGGGATTACAGGCACCCACTACCATGACCTGCTAATTTTTATATTTTTAGTAGAGACGGGGTTTCACCATGTTGGCCAGGCTGGTCTCGAACTCATGACCTCAGGTGATCCACCCGCCTCGGCCTCCCAAAGTGCTGGGATTACAGGTGTGAGCTACCGCACCCGGCCAATACCTGGCCTTTTAATAAGTTTGCTGACTCCTGGTATAGATGACAGAAAATTGAATAATGTTTTGTTTCTCCAGTCTAGGAAGCGCAAGTCAGGTAGTGGATAGACTGGCATCCGGGAAGCCCGGGTATGTAAGGGCCACGTGGATGAAGCAAATGCCTCCTGCATAGCCCCTGGTTCTTTGTCCCACTTGGGAGGAGTCCATGGATGTGGGTAATATTTACAAAACAATTTTTGGCTTACCATTTGCAGAAAGCATTGCATATATTTAAACTGGCATGTCCCACCCTCTGCTACTCCATCAGATGTAAATACAATGACGATAAGCCGTACAACTCCCCTCTCTTAGAAACCTCAGCAGGACCACAGAGCAAGGGAGTCAAAGCTTTCTTAATTCTCTCCAGTAAATGACTCAACTAATTTGATTTTTTAATTAAGTCAAAATACCAAGAGAAAAATTGCTACTAAAACTTACATTTTGAGCCACACTGATGTGCAGCACAAAATGAAATAGTTTTCACCTCCATTCCATTTTTTAAAAATTCACGGTCCACACTGAAACTTGCTGGGTTTTAGCAGGAGACGAAGGTGCCACCCACGCTGTCCTGATCCTGCTTTCTCCAACCCAGTGACCTCCAGCACATGATCACTGCAGCCAGTCGCGGCCATGCCGATCCCGCCACCTCCCGGCCACACACACTTGCAGACCCACAAAAAGAACTGTAGCCTTGAGAATTTCAGTTCAGGTTGGAAAAATGCCATGCAATAATCTGGTTTGCTTTCAGTAAGTACGCAACAAGTGGAAACTGTATAATTTTCATCACCTATTCTGCTGTTCTATCTGAGTGTACGTTTGGTTTGTGAACTGGGCCCTTGTTTGTGCCACATCCTTCAAAGATGTTTCCTGTCAGGACACCTGTGGTCCCGCCCCTCCTCAGATACCTTCCCAGTGGCATTCACGTTCCTTATATGCAGTGTTAGCCATCTTTGGCCTACGTGGACTTTTTTTGTAAATTACACGGTTTCCAGACATTAAACTTTTTATATTATGAAATTTACCATGTAAAAAGAACTTCATATTTTTATTGAGATTGCTAAGGCACTTGGCCTTGCTCCTTTGTGATTTTCAGTGTCTATTAAAGCATGAGTTCTCTCGGTTTTAAGTGCTGTATCTGGATCACTTTCTCACCCTTTCCATACTGTCCAGATTTCTTTGCAGCACATGGAGTGGCCGTGTGTCATTACTGAGCACGTATCTCTCTAGTTTTATCCCCATCTCTACACCATAGCCTCACATCCACCCAGCAGAGAGCACAACCGTGCATGCAGCAGAGCTGTCCCGCACGTCTCTGGTCTGGGGACACTGTTGGTGGGGGGTGATTTAGACGCTACTAATAGTTGGAGGGCCAGAAAGTTCTACAGTTGAATACATACTTCAACAAACAAAAACAGTTCATCACCACCAGATCCCTATATATCATCTAACGAAACTTCCAAGGTAGTATTTCAGAAAGAAGGAAGATAATTCTATATGCAAAAGTGTAAGAAGCAGGAAGGAATAGTGAAGAACTGGGTAAATGTGAATAAATGAACACAAATACTGCCTTTATAAAAAGAGTAATGTCTCATTTGGATAACAAGAAATACTAGACAATAATATGTAAAACAAGGGAGTTAAAGTGCTGTAAGTTTAGGAACAAATTGTAGACTACTTTTAGAGTAAGCTAAATATATGTAGTTCCACACACAAATCGAAGTAGAGGGTTATACTTCCAAACTAGTTAGTGGAAGAGAAACAGATTCATTTTGTAAAACCCTGGTTGATGAAAAGGAATAGAAAAAGGAAGGAACAGGCCAGGCGCGGTGGCTCAAGCCTGTAATCCCAGCACTTTGGGAGGCCGAGACGGGCGGATCACAAGGTCAGGAGATCGAGACCATCCTGGCTAACACGGTGAACCCCCGTCTCTACTAAAAAATACAAAAAAACTAGCCGGGCGAGGTGGCGGGCGCCTGTAGTCCCAGCTACTCGGGAGGCTGAGGCAGGAGAATGGCGTGAACCCGGGAGGCGGAGCTTGCAGTGAGCCGAGATCCGGCCACTGCTCTCCAGCCAGGGTGACAGAGCGAGACTGCGTCTCAAAAAAAAAAAAAAAAGAAAAAGGAAGGAACAACAAAAACCATCTAAAAGGACAAATATAAGATGAACTTGTACATTTTCAAATAACTAAAAGCATAATTGGTTTGTTAGTAACACAAAGGATAAATGCTTGAGGGAATGGACACCCCCTTCTCCACGATGTGATTATTATGCATTGCACGCCTGGATCAAAACGTCTCACATGCCCCATAAATATATACATCTACTATGTTCCCACAAAAATTAAAATAAAAAGAGACAAAAAAATATCAGTAATCATTATAAATGTAAGTGAACTAAACAATTAAGCAGTAGATTGACAGATGATGGCAATAAGCCACATGCTCTTTAAAAAGCTATATGCTATTTGAAAAGAAAATCACCAAAGCATAAGGGCCCCAAATGGCTGATAGTAAAAGGCTTGGCAAACTAGATATTAAAATAAGAGGCACTAATAAAAACCAAGATCCACCTCCTAATGATAAACTTAGCAAAAGGGCAAAATTCTAAATTTGTATGCAGCTAACTATATAGCCTCCAAATTCATGAAGAAAATTTGTTTTACAAGTTTGAAAAAACATTATCATAATGGGAGGTTTTAAGCCAGTACTCTCAATAATTGATAGATCAAGCAGACGAAAAGTTAGAAAGCATGTGGCAGGTTTAAACAACTCTGTGAACAGGCTTCTGAAATGCAGTTAAGGAGAACCCAGTCTCGGATAGTGAATCCACTGTCTTCACTTGCACACATGGAATATTTCATGAAAATAGACCACGCACAGGCCACATAGCAAGTCTCAGCAAATATTGAGGAATTACTACCACATAATCAGAGCACAATACAATTAAGTCAGGCATCAATAACAAGAGGATAACTAAAAAGCAGCCAATCACTTAGACATTTTAAAATGGACCACATAGCAGACAACCCATGGAAGAACTCAAAATAGAAATGGGAAAATACAACATATCAAAACAGATGGATACCTCCAGACCTACAGGACAGTGGTGTTTATTTTTTCTATACTCGCCTAGAATTTGCACAGTGGATTAGAAACACTATCACTTTCACCCAATAAAATAAAATTACAATTATTTTTATTTCTGCGTACATGGTATTTTCAGAAAATGTATACATTATATGTATAAAGAATAAAATTATAATTCCATAAAACTAGTAGAATACAACATATTAAAGAAAGATGTATAGCCCTAAATGTTTATATTCAAGGGTAATATTTAAATTATGTAACTACAAGAACCCCAAGCGACCAAGAAGGACACTGGTGCTGTGACACTAGAGTACCGAGGTATGCTAGGAAAGAACAAAAACTGCTTACTGAGCTAGGTGACCAAGAAGTTAGAAAAAGAATAACAGAGAAAATAAAAGAGGAAATAAGAAAGGCCAGAAATAAAAGAAGACAATATAGAAGAAATAAAAGAAGACAATATAGAAGTTTAAGAAGGGCAAAGTTTGCCAAAAAGACAACTACACTGATTTCTAAGAACAGTAATCGTGTATGCGCATGTGTGTGGGCGTGCGTGCGTTTGAGTCAGAAAGAGGGAAAAGGAAGGAAAATGGGCTATAACTAAAGATGCAGCCGAGATCAAAGAATAAGAAGCTACGAACGATTTTATGCCAATATATATGAATGTACAAAATATCGCCTTTCAGGGTCCAGGTGCATACATGCAGTGGAGGTATCTAGAAATGCTGGGAATGAGGGCTCTCAAAGGCGGAGTGGTATTAGCGTTAAAGTGAGTGATTTGAAGCGGAGTGGTATTAGCGTCAAATTCTCAAAGGCGGTAGAATTAGCGTCAGGAGCGGGATGTGGGTGACTGTGACTTACAATTCGTTTATATATCTGAACTACTTCATAAAAAATTTAAGAACAAGTGAAAAATATAGCCATTACACAATAATTAGATTATACAAACTTTTAGAAAAAGATATTAAAAGTTTTGAAAAAAGATAAAATGCCAAAATGGATGTAAGAAGGAAAAGAAACTTAAACTAAAATGGTAATCATTTTAGCCTTATTTTTGCCCTTATCCAACTCTCCAAAAAACAGCAGGCCCAAGTGGTTTTATGTGTATTTCACCAAACTTTTAGGAGTTTTTTTCAGTTAGTCTCTCTTTTCAAAATGAACTGTTTAGAAAATATAAAACAATGTCCAAATCATTTCATAGATGACATCCTTAATTCTGAAACCAATGAATAGTATAGGAAAACAATAGGACCATTCCATGTGTGAACCTAGACATAAAAATCCTAAAGAAAATATTGGCCATTAAATCTCTGCATTTTATTTTATTATTTATTTACTTTTAGATATGGGGCTCTCACTATGTGGCCTAGGCTGACCTCAAACTCCTTGGCTGAAGCAATCCTCTTGCCTCAGCCTCCTGGATCAGCTGAGACCTCAGGCACGCACCACACCCCCCAGCAAACCTCTGTATTTGAAACTTAAGAAAACAGAAACTGAAAAGTAGATCTATGTGTTAGTGACTTGGGAGTGTTGGTCTTTGCTAATATACACAAAACTGGTATTCCTAAGAGACCAGAGCTCTGGCCCTAAAGGGATACCTATAAACACATTCATATGCAGAAAACCTTATATTAGGCATGAAATTCTGGAGAACATTTTGACCCTGAGAACTGGGGTGGATGAGTTCTATGGTTCATACTATAATTATACAAGAGGCAAAATCTATTATCTTCCCATTATAAGAAAATAAAATTTGTATGTCAATGTAAAGGGAATTCCAAGTGGTTCTACCATTTCTTAAGACACAGTATAAGAACTATACCCTGCCATTGGTGTTAAAGTAGACTTTTACTTTAGTATAATACAATCATCTACAGATTACATCTAAGTATGAAAGGTTAATGAGGCATAATGCAAGGATTTATGAGCACAATAGTGTGGGCCCCAATTCTTTAGGAAATCCAATTTATGTTCCCTGTTACTGCTAAAGAATTTGTATATTCCACTGTAGAATACATATTTTGTTGGACACGTCCTTTGAAGGAGAGAATGGCCCTTAATGAAGATTTGATTCTGTGCTTCGGGATCTGAGTTGACAGCTAATACGAAAGATGGTTACAAGTAGGACTGCTCTTAGCTATTGCAGCTACTTTTAGGATTCTAATGCTTGATTTATAGTCACTTTGTTGTCTTGCTTTTAACCTTAGATGTTCTGGACAGGGGCCGCAGCTCGGTACCTTCCTCTATTTAAAGCCTTTCTCTAACTTTCCCAATGAGCATGCATGCTTACAGCCTCTAATACTCCTAAATAATGGCAAACAGCAGGGAACTGACAGGCTAATGCTGCATCCACTCCAGCAAATGAGGCCAAACATCTGGAGCCAAACACATTAAAGGGACACATTGGCATTAAGGAAACATTTTGCTTTTCAAATGCATTTCATCCAATCTCAAGATATTTATTAAATTTGTAGCAATTATGCATTTGGGCTTCAGGGAATAATAATATTCTTAAGTATATAAATATTGTCAATATATTTACTTAAAAGAAAAAGTTTTAAGCTTTAAATCCCAGGAGCAGAACTCAAAGTCTGTACTTTTAGACTTTTAGTTAATTAAGATAGGTAAAGGAATTTGAATTCTGATTTGCCTGGCAGCATTTTGCCAACAGTCTAATTTTTTTTTTTCCCTGTACAGATCTTCTTAAAGTATAGCCATTTCATTCTAAACCAAAAATGCAAAAGATAAAATTAATATGTGGTCAAAATGAAAAAGGCAGTTCTTATCTATTATTTCAAAAGCCATTCATTCCACAAATATTTGCGCAGAGTTTATAAGTAGAATGCAGCCAATAAAAAATAAGCAGAAAGTTAAAACAGGTGTTAGAAAGTCCATAAAACAGGCCAAGCACAATGGCTCACACCTTAATCTCAGAACTTTGGGAGGCCAAAAAGGGGGGAATTGCTTGAGCCCAGGAGTTCGAGACCAGACTGGGCAACATGGTGAAACTCTGTCTCCACAAAAAATACAAAAATAAGCCAGGCATGGTAGCCTGCTCCTGTAGTCCCAGCTACTTGGGAGGCTTTTAGGTGGGAGGATCACTAGAGCCTGGGAGGTTAAGGCTGCAGTGAGCCATGATGATGCCATCACACCCCAGACTGGGTGACAGAGCAAGACCGTGTTTCCAAAAAAAAAAAAGAGAAAAACAAGTCAATAAAATACAGCTTATGCACTTCACTTACATGCCATTGTCTTCATGATACAATTTAAACAGCTTGGTGAATGAAAACACCACCACTGTGCCCCTACCCACCCACTCACCACCCCTCCCTAGAACTGCCTCAGCCCAGCCTAGAGAGC